GGTGCTGTGACTCAAAGCGGTAGAGTGCTCACCTTGAGCTGAAGAGCTGAGGGACAGCACCCAAGCCCAGAGTTCAAGCCCCATGACCAACAAAAACAAACAAACAAAAAAGAACAAAAAAAGGTTTCAGTTCCAGGCCAGCCTAGGCAGAAAAGTTTGCAAGACTCCATCCATCTCAAGGAAAAGAAGCTGGGTGGGGCTGGGAAGGTGGCTCAGTGGTAGAGCACTTGCCTTGCATGCCTGAGGCCCTGGGTTCGATTCCTCAGCACCACATAAGCAAAAAGAAAAAAAGCTTGAAGTGGTGCTGTGGCTCAAGTGGTAGAGCGCTAGCCTTGAGCTGAAGAGCTGAGGGACAGCGCCCAGGCCCAGAGTTCAGGCCCCATGACCGGACCCAAAAAAAAAAAAGAAGCTGGGTGTTACGGTGTATGCCTGTCATCCCAGCTATGACTGGGAACCTAAAATAGGTGGATCACAGTCAAAGAGCCATTCTGGGTAGGATTAAGAACTTATCTCAAAATATAACCAGCAAAATCAAAGCTAGAGGTGGGCTTCAACGCTAGGAATGTCTACCTCACCCTAACAAGTGTGAGGTACTAAGTTCAAACCCTACTCACTGGGATGTGGGATCTCACTGGGGATGTGGTTCAGTGCTAGAGCATGTATAAACTTCCCATCTAGCTAGGATAATAGGTGTACATGGTAGCTCTCTATTGAGAAGGGGAGTCTCAAATGTTTTTGCCTTGGCTGGCGTCTAATCATAATCTTCCCAAACTTAGTCTCCCAAGTAGCTAGGTTTATAGGCATGAGCCACAGGCATTCAGTTGAGAAATGCATGTTTTAAGGCCTAGGAAAATGGAGGTTAAAGCACACTGTTTTTAAGTATCATATATGTGTATACATACACAAATATATCGTATGTATACATATATAAATATGCAATTTTGGATTTTTAGTACTGAGGTGGTGCCCTAGGGCCTTAGGCATGCTAGGCAAGTGTTATATAACTGAGATACATTTCCTAGCCTTCAACTATCACAGATGAATTTGTATTACAAGCACTGAACTGATCATTTGTTCTTTAAATTCACAGAAGATAGAGAAAACAGACTAGAGAGAATTCACCAAACCTGTGCCTAAGAGATCAATCAGATAACCTCCGAAGATCCCTCCTCACAATTTGTAAGCCTTACCATGGTATTTCCTACACTAAGAATTATTGACAGCTTAGAAAATTGGCCAAAGAGAAACTCCTCAGAATTGCATGTTATTGAACATAAACACAATCGCCCTGCTTACATTCTCAAAAACCTTAATGGTGCGATATACTGGGAAAATATGTAAAACATTAGATTTCCTGTGATCTAGCGGTACTGTTCAGTTTTACTCTTCCTCCGTACTCTAGCCAGTCTCTTCTATTCATCCTTCCCCAAATGTCATTTGTGAATGAGTACGCACCTTCACATCTTTGATTATACCAATGTTGCTCCTGGAATACCTTTCCTACTCTCTTCTACTTTTCTGAAATCTTCATTTTCATGAGTAAATCTATGTGGCAAAGTTTGAGAAACACTTTGTCTGAAGCTCCCACAAGAACTTTAGACCTATTCCTAGAGCCCTGTGCTGGAGGCTCATGCATGTAATTCTAGCTACTCAGGAGGCTGAGATCTGAGGATCACAATTCAAAGTCAGCCTGGGTTGGAAAGTCCATGAGACTCTTATCTATAATTAAGCACCAGAAAACTGGAAGTGAAGCAGTGATACAAGTGGTGCACTAGCCTTGAGCAAAAAAGCCAGGGACAGATCCCTGGCCCCGAGTTTAAGCCCATATGGCCAAAAAATAAACAAACCAAAACTATTCCTATGTTTTAAAATGCAGTGGAAAAAGCTATTGCCTAGTGTAAATGAAGCACTAGCTTTGATTGCTAGCATTACAAACTTATTCTTGTGTGTGTGTGCATGCCAGTATTGAGGCTTGAATTCATGGTCTGGACATGAGCACTAAGTTGAGCTACAGCTCCACTTGTAGCTTTTTGCCAATTAATTGGAGCTAAGAGTTTCAAGTACTTTCCTGCCTGGGCTGTTTTCAAACCTTGATCCTTGGATTGCAATCTCATGAGTAGACAGAATTACATGTGTGAGCCACCAGTGCATAAACCATTTGTGTATGTGTGTGCACACGCTAGTTCTGCGGTGGAATTCAGGGGCTTGGGCTCAGTCCCTGACCTTCTTTTTGCTCAAGGATAGTGCTCTACCATTTGATTTTTTTTTTTTTTTTTTGGGTCCGGTTGTGGGGCCTGAACTCTGGGCCTGGGCGCTGTCCCTCAGCTCTTTAGCTCAAGGCTAGCGCTCTACCACTTGAGCCACAACGCCACTTCCGGCTTTTTTCTTTTTGCCTATGTGGTGCTGAGGAATCGAACCCAGGGCCTCAGGCATGCAAGGCAAGCGTTCTACCACTGAGCCATCTTCCCAGCCCCGTGCTCTACCATTTGAATCACTGTTCTACTTCCAACTTTTGGTGGTTAATTGGACATAAACATTTCATGGACTTTCCTGACTGGGCTGGCTTCAAACTGCAATCTTCAGATCTCAGCTTCCTGAGTAGCTAGGATTACAGGCTAGAGTCACCAGCACTTAGCATAAACTTATTCATTCTTAACTTTCATTAGTTTTCTTCTAGGAATCTCATCTAAGAAAACTATCTGAAGGGCATGCAAAAATTTATGAAAAAAGATGTTCATTGTGACAATTTTGTCAGTCATGGGGCTTTAGCTCAGGACCTAGGTGTTGTCCCTGAGCTCTTTTGCTCAAGGCTAGTGCTCTATCACTTTGAACAACAGCTCCACTTCTGGTTTTTGGGTGGTTAATTGGAGATAAGTCTTTGGGGACTTTTCTGCCCAGGCTAGATTTGAACCATGATCCTCAGATCTCAGCCTCCTGGGTAGCTAGGATTACAGGCATGAGCCACTGGCACCCGGCCATCTGGCACTATATGTATTTTTTTTTTTTAATGATGAAGGACTTTAAGCACATAAAAATAGACTAGCAAAATGAATCCCCATATAGTCATCATTTAGGTGCAATGATTTTTCACTACCTTTGTTCCAGTAAGTACAAATATAAACCATTACAAACATATGTTGGCTGGGCACCAGTGGCTCACACCTGTAATCCTAGCTACTCAGGAGGCTGAAACCTGAGGATCACAGTTCAAAGTCAGCCCGGGCAGGAAAGTCTGTGACTCTTAGCTCCAATAAACCACCAGAAAACTGGAATTGTCTCAGCCTTATGCTGAAGAGTTGAGGGACAATGCCCAGGGTTCAAGCCTCACAACTGACCAAAAAAATATATATATAATATATATTATATATATATATGTATGTATATGTATAGGTATGTTGAGGTGCTGAAACCTGGAACCACAAATACAATCTTAACTTAGAAACAGAGTCACTGCAAATATTAAAGGTCACATAGGGTAGGTAAGCCCTCTACCAAGATGACTAGTATTATATAACTTCATAAGAAGAGTGTTATGAGAAATTTGGCCCCCTGAACTCAATGCCAATTCATAAATAATGAGATCAGGGGCTTGGAGAAAAGGTAATAAAGGTTTCTTAATTCTGTCAGGCTAAATGAAGACTTTAAGCTGTTTTCTCAGAAAGAAGCACTGTCCTAGAGGGAGGTGAGTAGGATGGTTTTATAGAAAAGCCCAGGAACCCAGGCTGGAGTCCAGGCTGGATGGTGGCCTTGGGCCCGCTTACTTCTTCATTTTTTTGTTTTTTCTGGGTCCGGTCCTGGGACCTGAACTCTGGGCCTGGGCGCTGTCCCTCAGCTCTTCAGCTCAAAGCTAGGGCTCTACCACTTAAGCCACAGCGCCACTTCCGGCTTTTTTCTTTTTGCTTATGTGGTGCTGAGGAATCGAACCCAGGGCCTCATGCATGCAAGGCAAGCACTCTACCACTGAGCCACCTTCCCAGCCCCTACCCCCCCCCCCCCCCCCCCGCCCCAGCTTACTTCTTGATGCCATGGCATTAGTCTCTGGAGCTGTATTCCATCCTGTCCCAAATGTTCTTTCATTCCTGTAGTCGGCCAGATAAGGAATGTGGTGACCTTGATTGGAGCTGTAAAAACATTCTTGAATTCTCTCACTTGGGGAATGGTGGTGGTATGAGAACAGATAGGAGAGTGAGAAAGGAAAGAAAAAAAGCTGTCTTTTAAAACCTCTGTAACGCCGGGTGCTGGTGGCTCACATCTGTAATCCTAGCTACTCAGGAGGCTGAGATTTGAGGATCACAGTTCAAATCCAGCCCAGGCAGGAAAGTCTGTGAGACTCTTATCTCCAATTAACCAGCAGAAAACCAGAAGTGGCACTGTGGCTCAAGGTGGTAGAGTGCTTGCCTTGATCTGAATTGCTGAGGAACTGTGCCCCACAACAACAAATATAAATAAATAAATAAATAAATCCTCTGTAACTGAAAGCATCTTAGGCTAAAACTACAGTTGTGAACACATGTAGGTGTTTGTTCCTGTTGTAAGACAAGACATATGAAAACAGATACATGCAGGGGAGACAGATGGAAAGACACATGGGGAGGCTATCGTGTGACTGGACTGGAGATATGGCAGTGTCAGCCTCAAGTGGCTGAAGTGCGGGGAGCTAAGAAACAAGGCCTGGGACAGATTTTCCCTCAGAGTCCTTAATAGCAACCAACTCTTGGACCAACACTTTCCATATTGAATTCCCAGCCTCCAGAACTATGCAAAGATACATTTCTTGTTTAAGTCACTAAGTCTGTGTTACTTTATTGCAAAATGCACTGAGATACTGTTGGGGACACAATGCATTATCAGTTAAAATCTTCATGTATTGTCCCAGCCTTGATTACTGTGTATATTGAAGCCAGAGTTTCTACATATTCCATGGTGCCCAGCACTGCTGACTGATGAAATCACAACGCCTTACCCAAAATGCTGAAGTAAATATAAATAAAAGCTAAAAAAGTTTGACACAAATCCTTTTAATAACGTATTTTGGTGAAAATTTCATGTTGAAGTAAATATATTGTTAAGAATCATGTAAGAACACTTCATTATAGTTACTAAGAAAGCGTTGATACTGCTATTCCCTCTGCAGAAATGCTATGCACAGATGCAAAATGATCGAAGGCTGATAAAATAATGAATCTCAAGTAAGTGGCATAGCCATCGCGGGCCTGTAGGGAAAAAAAAAAAATCAAGAGATGTTTTCAGTGTTTATAGTTAACTGTTAACAAGCAGCTAGTAGAAGAAAGGTTAGATGAAGACTATTATTCTAACTATGTATATGAGCCAGCCACATAGAACAGTTGCTCTGGTGTCCAGCCATAGGATAATCAGTCTTGGTCTTGTGAAAAAGAGCAGGAGGCATACAAATCACAACTGTACATTTCTGATCTTTTTTGTTTTTGTTTTTTGTTTTTTTTGGTGGGTTCTGGGGCTTGAACTCAGGGCCTGGGCACTGCTCTTGAGTTTCTTTTGCACAAGGCTAGTGCTTTACCACTTGAGGTGCAGCTCTATTTCCAGATTTTTTGGTGTAGCTTTATTGGAGATAAGAGTCTCACAGACTTTTCTGCCTAGGCTGGCTTTGAACCATGATCCTTAGACCTCAGTCTTCTGAATGGCTAGGATTGGAGGCATGAGGCTTCTGATCAATTTATTTTTTTAAACCTACTTAAAGAATTTCTCAAAAAGGGAGAGGAGGATAGGAAAGTGAAAGAGGGGGTGAGTTGTTCCATATACATTGCATGCATGTGTGGAAATGTCATAATGGACTAATATATGGTAATTTAATATAACTAATATATGGTAATTTAAAAAAGCAGGCAATTCTAAATTTTTTCTCACAATAAGAGATTTTCCTTAGTTAATTGTGCTTTAATCCACTCCCTGTACATGGTATACTTTTATATAATTTCTCTGATAAGCAATCTGGCAATATACGTAGAAAGCTATATAAAGTCTTATATCCTTGTGTTCTGCTGTAAACCCATTCTCTCTCTCTTTCTCTCTCTCTCTCTCTCTCTCTCTCTCTATATATATATATATATATATATTTATTTATTTATTTTTTGCTTGGTCTTGAGGCTTGAATTCAGCACCACTGGTGGTGGTTAATTGGAGATAGAAGTCTCACAGACTTTCGTGCCAGAGGCTGGCTTTGAACTGCAATCCTCAGATCTCAGCCTCCCAAGTAGCTAGGATTATAGGCATGAGCCACTGTTGCCTAGCCCTTCTATGATATTTAACCTTTCAAAATAATCAAAAGGAAAAAGATCATGGCAGCAAGAATATGAAAAAAATATCTTTAATTACTTACATTGACAGGAAAGCAAAGGAAATTATTTTAAATGTTATCCTTAACTATACTTAAGAAGTTTATAATACAGTATTAAATGTAAAAAGACAACACAAAATTGTCTATACATTCTATCTATGTGATGTATGTGGTCAACAATTAAAAGGAAATGAGTTATGACCAACTGGTAAAATTATCTGTGGTTTCCATCTGCTGCTGATTCTCCCATACTACTCATAGAAATATTAACCTCACTACAATTTTCAATGAGTCCTTGAACAAAATCCAAAGATTTACTAATCACAAGCCACTAAGATGGAAAAAAGCAGAAAGGTAAAATTCAGCAGAATTAATTATTTTTCCTGAGCACCACTGGTGTCATAGTTATTGAGTGAATTTAGTGGGAGAAAGGGAATTCACAGAATTCAAAAACTTGTATAGAATCCTTCAAAACACTGATTTCATAGCAATCCCTAGAAAGACTTGGAGAAGTAAACTTAATGGATAGGTACATCAATTCTCATTTAAGGAGACCTTAGTTAAACGCTGCCACCTTAAAAAAAATACATATTCAATCAGTTTCCTTTTCTGTGTTTGTGTAAAACCAGGGCATGACAAACTGTTAGGGACAGAGGAACTCCTGATGAAGCAGCAGCTTCCTCATCAAAGGCCATTCATTCCACTTGACATGCAAAGCCCAATGGAATGTAGTGGAAAAACGCTGGTTCTCTTTCCACTCCATCTCTCTTTGGCTTATTTGTTGCTGATCCCATGCTCTAGTTCCCCTTATCTGAATCTCCCTTGTCCTTTCATGCTTAAATTAACACCCAGTTTTGACATCTCAACCATTTTTTGATTCGTAGCCTGAAAGGCCTACTGGATAAAAGAAAGCAAAGCAAGGCAAACAAGTACTTCCAAACAAGTGAATAAGCAAAATAAAATAGAAAACAAATAAATGAATTCAGTTTTACCCTTGGAGGCACTCTCTCTACATTAGCTCATAACGTTAAGGACAATAACGTATCTAATGGTTGATTAGGTACAGAACCTATTTGTTTATTCTGGAAGATAAGTTTAAAATCTAAATGCCTTGTGCTTGCCAAAGAAAATATTCAGCTCTACAAAGAAAATTACTTACCACAATTTCTTCATTCTGAAGCTGTCCCTCTGTGTGCACTAAATCTAAAACACAATTTAATAGGGATAAATTGAGTTCAAGTCTCAGTACCAGCATGCAAAAACAGCTATTTTTATTTATTTGTTTGTTTGCTTGTTTTTTGGTCATGGGGCTTGAACTCTGGGCCTGCGAGCTGTCCCTCAGCTCTTCAGCTCAAGGCTAGTGCTCTACCATTTGAGCCAGTGTCACTTCCAGCTTTTTCTGTTTATGGGGTGCTGAGGAATCCAACCCAGGGCCTCATGCATGGGAGGCAAACACTCTATCACCGAGCCATCTTCCCAGCCCAATAGTAGTCTATTTTAATTTTGGAACTACTTTCTCTTACTCCTACTCTCATCACTCCTCCTCCTGGTCTTCTTCCTTTTCTTCTTTGAGACTGAGTTTTGCGACATAGTATAGAATGATCTGAAACTTACTATGTGGCTCAGGCTAGGCTTGAATTTCAATTCTCCAATCTTCCTCCCAGAGCTGAGATAGGAGGTGTGTACCATCACACCTAGCCATATATATTATATTATTTTTAAATTGAATGTATTAAGTCAGTTGTCCTGTAAAACAGTACATGCTATTGTCATCTTACCTCTTTATAGTTCATTTAATTAGATCCTCTATCCTCTGTATTTCCTATACATTGGAAATTAGAGGCAAGGTTTGATTATATTCATCAGCTATCTGGTTGTCTTATTCCTTATGAATAATAAATTATTTGGAAATGTGTTTATGAGCCAGGCTTGCTGACTGGTAGACATCAAAAAAGTGACTAAGTGTGAACTAGCTTTATCAGTATCCACAGAGGACCACAGTCTCTCTAAAGGTAAATCCTTTAGTCGCCCACTTTGGCTTATACTCTTGGTGGTTGTCATTAATTGCAAAGCACAGGAAGAAGCCTGGAGCTCCCACTGTTCAACGTGGAAGCCTCCGCTTAATGTTCTATGTCCTTTCATTCTTTCTACTATGCCTGATTTCCTGAGTCCTGAGTCTCAACACTCACTGTTCCTAGTCAGTGAGTTGGTGGAGGAAGTCTGTAGGTGAGAGTTCACCTAGCTTTGTAGGATGTAAGAAAATACCTAGAATCCAACCACTCTGGATAGAGATGGTCAAGTAATCATTCATGTTTTCTGGTTCATTGTATCTGTTGCCTTCAAATTCTAGACATTTCTGGAAAACATCTTGTTGATATTTCCCCTGACGATTAGGTTACAGCCTAATCCATTTAGCTATAGAAGTTGCTTCTTTCCCTCTATCAAAATATATATGAATCTCACATTTGCTTTAGTTTCCTCTTGTTTAATTAGTTTAATTAATTAATTAATGAGGCTTATGCCTCATTTTTATTCTTTTACTACTATCTTCATGATTTGGGAAAGAAAGGAAATAGAAAGACAACATTTTTATGTTTAACTAGAGGCTACCAATTCTGTGGATGTTATTTAAATAATACCATTAATCAGGAAGGAGGAAAGAAGAAACAAAAGCCTTAAATGTAGTTATCAGAACAAGGCTCTGACACAAGCACATACCTTTCTGGATCCACAGCTCAAAACCAGTTGGCTCTTTAGATGTGGTCTTTTCAATCCTCAGGGTCTGCACTGACATGGTCAATAAGCAAAATAAACAAAGTGTTAATTAGCTGATTCTCTATTGCCTTCCCTAGGTTTCTGCCCTCTGCCTGAGCCTGTCACACAGAGGGCTAGTATAGGGAATTCATGTCCAGGAAGTACCTACTATGTTTCTACACAAATCCCTGAGATAAAATGCAGTTGCCTAATAACAATCTTACAAATGTTTGGGATCATAAAACTCGAAGCTAGGGGCTGGGAAGGTGGCTCAGTGGTAGAGTGCTTGCCTTGCATGCCAGAGGCCCTGGGTTTGATTCAGCACCACATAAGCAAAAAAAAAAAAAAAAAAAAAGCCGTAAGTGGCGCTGTGGCTCAAGTGGTAGAGCGCTAGCCTTGAGCTGAAGAGCTGAGGGACAGCGCCCAGGCCCAGAGTTCAGGCCCCACGACCAGACCCCCCCCCCAAAAAAAAACACACGAAGCTAGCAGTGGCTTTCTGTTTTGTTCAGTGTGTGCGTGCGTGCGTGCGTGCGTGTGTGTGTGTGTGTGTGTGTGTATGCATGGTACTAGGGTTTGAACTCAGGGCATTATATTTGTTAGGCACAATTGAGTCATGCCCCAACCTTTTAAGTCATTTTTTGTATATACACTTGTTTTTGCCTGAGACCTACATCAGACTGCAATCCTCCTATGCTTCAGCATAGCTGGGATTATAGACACATTCCACCACACTCATAATTTACTGAGATGGGTCTAACTTTTTGCCCAGTTGGCCTGAACTACAATCCTCCTGATCTCCACCTTCCAAGTAGCTGAGATTATAGGAATGTACCACCATGCCTGGCCCAGTAGTGTGATTTTTTAACTTAGTTATCCAGAAAGTTTTACATACTGGTAATTATAATGCTATTGGTGGTCTTGGTCATAAATCTTTATGGAGAACCTGCTATGAGTCAGGTATAGTTATTCATTCACTTTTAACCATATTTATTCTACTGCTGAGGACACAGGCTTACAGAAGCCAGGAAGGGTGTCCAAAGAGGCAAGGAAAGGAAGTATCAGAACTGGAATTCACACTGACTCCAGAGTGTCTGTGATTAACGACAGGACACCAGCCTCCAATCATCTCCTTTTACACTAGTTTCTAATCCACTGTTTCCTCCCAGGCCCATTTCTTCAATCTTTTCCTCCTCTTCTCTGCCATCTTTGCGCCCAAGGAGCAGATTCTTGGTGAGCATATGTCCTGGGCTTACTTTCCCACTGGCCAGTGGGAAACCCCAGGAGGAAGCTGGAGGCAGTGAGAAGTGAGCAGAGGCTATTTTGCCCCCTTCTCTGTTTCTATGCCATGTCTTTCCTATTGGTCACTCCTTCACCACCACAGCTCCAGCAGAGCAGCCTTTTTGTACTGGCTCCAAAAACACTATTTCCTTTCCTTTTCTCAGGGCAATGATGGCTTATGGCTGTAGCAAACCTCATCATCCCTTGTTTGCTCCCCTAGCCTGGACTATAATTTTCTAAGAGTCATCAATAAAGCCTGTTACCATCTGCAATATACTGTTACCTACCATTAATGTTTTTTCATACACTATCCGAAAATAAGCAGAGGAGTCAGGCATGGTTGTGCATGCCTGTAATCTCAGCATTCAGGAAGACAGACAAGAGGATGGCAAGTTCAAGGCCAGACTGAGTTGCCTAGCAAGCCCCTATCAAAGAAAATCATACAAACAAACAAACACAGACAGGATTGGAATAATGTTCCAGTGGGAGATTCTACTCCTAATCTCCAGAAAAATGTCATAAGACGAAGAGTCAAAGTTATCCGACGTGATTAATCACTGTTATCAGATTTTTCAGCAATGATTTGAGAGAGAACGCCAGGCCAAATGAATCTAGAGTAAAGATGTCAGGAACCTTGTGTTCTGGTAAGTCAGTTTCTTATGCTCATAATGGGATATTTTGCTAAACACTTCCATGTAATAAGTTGCATGGAAATTATTATGTGTCTTGGAAGGGTTTCAACTTTGAGTTTCAGAGAGGCTAATTGTGCTGGAGGCAGTTAACCCATAAGCCCCACCCTCCCATTCCAGCAGTAAAACTGGATTCCAAGCTATAAAGAAAACTTAATGTTGTGCCAAAAGTTTACATATGTGTCCTCTGCCTTGGGTTCATTACAGAATAGTAAAAAAAAAAAAAAAAAAAAAAAAAATCAATGTATGGTTTGCTTACCTAAGTAACTTTGAATTATAAGCTTTTCAATCTTTACATGTTTGTGAAAACAAATAATGAATTCCTGGGGAAACATTCCTGTGGTGGTCCAAAATGTTTCTGGATTCCTATCATTAATTATAATAAAAAAGAAAAAGGAACAATCAAGTATAAAAGTTTAGTCACAAAATTAAAATGAATATTAGAAGGTGATTATTAGTATTTGCAATCCCTTTTTGTCAATTCTGCTATTTCTTTCCAACTTTAATATCATTAGTGCTATTTTTTTTAAACTACTACCAGATAGTCTCTTCTAAAACACAGGAACTGAATCGATGTCACTCATCTCTAAAAGCCTTCCATGGCCCCTTACTGCCTATAAACCCACACTCCTCAGTAAGGCCCTGAGGGCTGTACTCTGGTTTCATCATTAAAGTACACTGATTCCCATCACTGTAGTCACAGGGGACCACTCAAAATTCTGCGAACACATCATGCAGTCTTACACTTCTCTACCTTAGGTAATGACATTCTCCTGAACCTTATAAAAGTTTGCTCACTGTTTGGTCCTATCTCTCTACCAGGAATCAGAACCGCTTCCTCTCTCCTTTGCACCAGTCTCACACTCAGTATTCACCCATACACTGATCCCTGTTTTTTGGTTTTTTTTTTTTTTAACCAGTCCTGGGGCTTGAACTCAGGGCCTGGGCACTGTCCCTGAGCTGCTTTTGCTCAAGGCTAGCACTCTACCATTTGAGCCATAGTGCCACTTCTGTTTTTTTCCGTTTATATGGTACTGAGGAATCAAACCCAGGGCTTCATGCATGCTAGGCAAGCACTCTACCACTAAGCCACATTCCCAGCGATCCCTGGGTTCTTATGGTTGCTTGCAGGATGCTGAGCACTCAAGAGATCTTTCTTATCTTTCTGTCCCTATTAACTATTATAGTAGTGACCTATACTATATGAATGCTTTCTGGAAAAAATAAAACATGCAGTCAATTGTATGTCAATTATATATAGTATATATATATATATATATATATATACATATTTATATGTACACATAGATATATGAGACATATAGTATATTTACTATACAATAGAGTATGTGTACCGTACAAACACACATATACACACAATCTATATGGTATACAATAGAGTTGTTTTCATATTCTCTTTTCTTTTTCGCTACTTCTGGGACTCAAACACCGGGCTTGGACACTGTCTCTGAGCTCCTTTTTGCTCAAGGTTAGCACTCTACCACTTGAGCCATGGAGATACTTCTGGCTTTTTCTGTGATTAACTGGACTTTCCTTCCCCTGCTGGCTTCGAACTGTGATTCTCAGTTCTCTTCCTCCTGAGTAGTTAGGATTACAGGTGCGAGTCACCAGCATCCAGCGTTGTCTTTTCTTTTCCTTCCTTATGATGGAAATTGAACTTGCATATGCTAGCAAGGACTCTGCTACTGAATTGTACCCCTAGATCCTCAGCCTATTTTTCCTTAATTTTATTTTGAGACACGTCTTGCTAAACTTCCCAGGCTGCCTTGAATTTATAATCCTCCAGCTTTAGCCTTTCAAGTAGTTGGGGATTACAGGCATACACTACCATGCCATACTCTTACTTTTTCTCTTGACTCTTTTTTTTTTTTTCCTAGAGTAGAATCTCTTTTCCTCTTTTTCACTGGTATGTTAAATACAGAGGTCAAGAGTAAAAAAATATCATTTTGTAAGCTCTTATTTCTGAGGAAATTAAAAGTTTGCAACAGGGCTTTAAAATCTCACTGTTCATTGGGAGTAATTTTTTTTTTTTTTTTTTGTCCGTCATAGGGCCTGAACTCTGGGCCTGGACACTGTCCCTCAGCTCTTCTGCTCAGGGCTAGCACCCTACCACTTGAGCCACAGCGCCACTTCTGGCTTTTTCTGCTTATGTGATGCTGAGGAATCGAACCCAGGGCCTCATGCATGCAAGGCAAGCACTCTACCACTAAGCCATCTTCCCAGCCCCACTGGGAGTAAATTTATAGCATGGCTTTCTCCAATAACCTGATAGTTACTTAGATTTAGATAAACCAAATTGTGAGCAGAAAATAATTTTCAATATTTGCTATATAAAGTCTATAATATTTTCATCCATATTTACATGAATTGAAGTCTTCAGTATATTTCATTTAATTTTCAGGAAAGCAACTACCTTTATTCTATATGGTTTTCTGTACAGAGTTTTTGTCTAAACTAAAAAATGTTATGTCCTTATTCATTAAATAAAACCTTTATTAAATAAAATAATGGACCAATAAAACCTCAAATATTATCTACTACATATGACAAACTCCAATGACCTATAAACATATTTCCTTGAGTGGTAAATCACCACAAGGAAACAAATTAATTGATCTTGCCTTAGAAAATGATTTTCCTCCAACTACACAGGGTTGTTTTTGGAAAGATTCTTTTCCTAATGAACAACTTAAGGCACATTTCTATAGTACATATGCATCCTCACAGCTGCTCCTACAGTACCAAGTCAGAGAGGGATAGATAACTATTACTTGACTTATAGGAAAAAGAAACAAAAAAGAATAAAGAGATACAAGCAAAAGCAGATATTCTTTTAATTCAAACCTCAAGTAGGATTAGTATAGCAGAAGATAAAGAACTCTGAAGTAGGATTAGAAGACGTGAGCATTGGTTGTATCATTTGCTTATCTGTGTGATTTATAGCAAGTCATTTTACTTTTGGTTATCCTTTTTTTATATACAAGAGTTTGAACTTAGGGCCTCCTCATGCTTGTTTGGCTTGCTTGCTCAGCTTGCACTCTACCAATTGAGTTATGCCTCCAGCTTAGTTTTATTCTGGTTATTTTAGAGATTGAGTCTCTGGGCTTTTCTATCCACATTAGCTTTGAACCTCAATCCTCAGCTCTCATCCTACAGAGAGGATTGCAGGCATGCGCTACTGATGCCCCCAGCTCCATTTCTTTTTTTGTTTGTTTTGTCAGTCATGGGACTTGAACTCTGGGCCTGGGCTCTGTCCCTAAGCTCTTCAGCTAGCACTCTTGCCACAGTGACACTTCCAGTTTTCTGAGTGGTTTCCTGGAGATAAGAGTTTCACAGACTTTCCTGCCCAGGCTGTGCTTTGAACCATGATCCTCAGAGCTCAGCCTCCTGAGTAGCTAGGATTACAGGCACGAGCAACCTGGACACCCAGCTTTGGTTTTTTTGTTTTGTTTTGTTTTGTTGAGACAAGTTTTCACTACATAGTCCAGGCTGGCCTATAACTTGTTGTATGTCACAGGCTGTCCTTGAAGTCCCAATCTTCCTGCCTTTGCCACTCCAAGTGCCAGGAGTACAGATATGTGCCATTATACTTAGCTCCTTATCTTAAAAATACATTTTGGTATTTATTTGTTCTTTTGGTGTTTGTTTCCCAAATGACATGGTAGTTATGAATTTATAGGGCTCCAGGAAAATATATAGTAATATATGCATACTCATGTATATATATTTATATATATATATATATATAATTTGTCTTTGTATAAGTATACACTGATATCTTCAGTATTAGCCAGGGTTAACTAATATTTGATGTCTTAATTTAATAAACCAGTTAACAAACAGTTTAAGACTCTGTGTAGTCAAAGAATAAGACATACTTTTGATTCCTAGGAATTCTCAATGAGAGAAGAGACAAATAAAAATAAACAACTCTGGGCTAGGAAGGTGGCTCAGTGGTAGAGTGCTTACCTTGCATGCCTGAGGCCTTGGGTTCCATTCCTCAGCACCACATAAGCAAAAAGGAAAAAGCCAGAAGTGGCACTGTGGCTCAAGTGGTAGAGCGCTAGCCTTGAGCTGAAGAGCTGAGGGACAGCGCCCAGGCCCAGAGTTCAAGGCCCCACAACCGGACCCAAAAATAAAAAAAATAAACAACTCCATAATAAAAAAGTAAATAAAACAATGGGATTTATACTAAATACTGTTGGGACCTAGAAAAGAGATAAACAAATCCCACCTCAAGCGGAAGGGGCAGATCTTAGAAAAGAGATAGCGTCTAACCTTGAAAGAAAAAGTCAAGTTGTTAGAATTTGGTCCTGGTTCACAGGCTTTACAACAGAACCTAAGAATCACAAAAATCTTACCTTACAACTGACTCTGCTTTCAATAATTAAATAGTATTTAACATATTTAGACCTCTCTAATCACAAGTTGCAAGATGAACTTGTAAGTTCTTTTAGCTCTAAAATTATGTGACTATATGATTCCAACTCTGGTCATTTACATGAATACCAAGAAAGAAAAAGATAGGCCAGTTCTGTTAAAAAAAAAAAAGGAGTTCTCACATTAGCTACCTTTTCTTGGAATTGAAAGTCTGAGAATAATATTTATCTCTACATAGAATGAGCTTGAGGGTGGTGAAGAATAGAAACTGTAAGGAGATAAGCCAAGAAGTAAACAATGCAGGAAGATATTGGAAACTGAAACATTAAGTTTAGCAAAGAAGTTGCTTAGACCAGCAATGAAATAGGCAGATAGGAAGTTACATTGTTTATATCCCTATTTCCAAGAATAATCTGGAATAAAACTATGCCATAGGTTAAAATTTACACTTCCATAAAATGAAGCTGTTGTTTGGTTTCTGATTCATTAGACTACTATTAAAAAAAAAAAAAAGATTGGGCTGGGAAGGTGGGTCAGTGGTAGAGTGCTTGCCTTGCATGCCTGAGGCCCTGGGTTCGATTCCTCAGCACCGCATAAGCAAAAAGAAAAAAAAAATTAAAAAAACCCACTATTGTGAGGCCAGGTGTAGTGGCAAAGGCCTGTAATCATAGCTACTCTGCAGTCAGAAAATGGAGAATCATTTGAGGTCAGCCTGGGCAAAAATAAATGAATAAATAAATAAATAATAAGGAAGCCCTGAGGCAGCACAAGCTTTTAAATCCCAACTATGTAGGAGGCAAAGATAGATGATTCTGGTCTGAGTTTGGCCAGACAAAATACTTGAGACCCTACCCTATCTATAGAATATTAATAGCAAAAAGGTCTAGAACAGAAAAAAGAAAACAATATTGGAAAGCCAGGCATGGTGGCCATGCTTCTAATCTTAGCATTTGAGAGATTGAGGAAGCAGCATTCTGAGTTCAAGACTAGGCTTGGCTATGCTATGAGGGTTGGGAAAGGAGCTCAGCAGTATACTGTTTGCCTATCCCATGCAAGGACATAGGTTCCATTATTCAAAACATCTAGAACCAAAAACAATAACAACAAAAAAATCCCCCCAAAACCCAAGAAACAAACAAAAAAAAGTAGAGGGAGAGTGAACAAATGCAGTCATAGTATTCAGTATATACTATGTGGAAAATGAACTATGAAACTTTGGGGCAGGAACTGGAGGGGAAAGCTAAGGGAAAGTGAAGGAAGGGGTGACATTGTCCCAAAGAAATTGTACTCATTACCTGACTTATGAAATGGTAACCCCTCTATTCAACATCTTAAAAACAATAATAAAATTATATTTAGGAGCAAAAAAATTTGTATTGGCTGGCAAGATGTAGCTCAGTAGAAGAACAGTTGTCTATCATATGCACAGTCTTGGATTGGAATCCCAGCACTGTAGAAGCAATAGTAAGTAACAAAAACAATGAAAACTTTAAACCTAATTGTTAAAGAGATCAGCTAAAAAGTTACAGAAAAGCCGGGCACTGGTGGCTCCTGCCTATAATCCTAGCTACTCAGGAGGCTGAGATCTGAGGATTGCGGTTCAAAGCCAGCCCGGGCTGGAAAGTCCATGAGACTTTAATCTCCAATAAATCATCAGAAAAACCAGAAGTGGCGCTATGGCTCAAGTGGTAGATCGCAAGCCTTGAGCTGAAGAGCTGAGGGACAGTGCCCAGGCCAAGTTCAAGCCCCACAACTACCACCACCAACAACAACAGAAGTTGTTACAGAGAAAAGGATCTACAACTTAAATATTCACAACTAAATTCATTTTGGAAAGGATATCAAAAGCATATAATATCAGGTCATCAAGTTCATCAAATACTAAACTAAGCTTAACACTATCAGTGGAAAAACCACACAGTCCCAGTAGTTCAGGAGTTCTCTGACTTGAAGTATGACAATGTAGTAACTCTTACCCATCAATTATGTTTTCAGGTGGGTGTTTGTCATCGCTGGATGTAGCTAAAATCACTTCAGATCCTTCAGAGTTTAAGCAGAGATCAACTTTTCTCATTTTTGTGTTTAGCCTGCAAATAAAAAGTAACAAAACATTAACAAACAAAAAGCCAACTCTGGATTTCTCTAAACTTTAAAAGGAAAGCCTGTTGCCTAGTAACAGGTTTAACAACTAAGCTATTCAACAACTGGGAGAGACTTTTTTTTTTTTTTTAAGAAAAATAAACTTCTGACTTCTCCCAGGGATAATCTGTGAAATGTAACTATTTCCCCTTCTCTGCTACACAAAATAATTATTTGGACACCTGAAATAACACCATTTTTCAACTTTTAAAATTAAAGGATATTATAATCAAGTTGCAATAGTTAACAAAAATTAGTGGGTCAAATTTTTAAAATTGTTTATAGTTACTTCTTTTTGTTCGGTCATGTGAACTCAGGACCTGAGTGCTGTCCCTGAGCTTTTTTTCTTTGAACTATGGCTCAAAGTTCATAGCTCTCCTTCTGTTTTTCTTGTGGTTAGTAAGAGTCCCACTGACTTTCCTGCCCGGGCTGGCTTTGAACTGTGATCCTCAGATCTCGGCCCCTTGAGTAGCTAGGATTATAGATGTGAGCCTCTGGCACCTGGCTTTATAGTTACATTTTTTAAAAATTAAAAGTAATGTGTATTTTGTTACTGTTTATCCAATTAAATTATCAAACAATATAATTTCCTTTTTTAAAAAAACCTCATTTTTTATTTTAGAATATTGCCTAGGCTGGTCTCAGGAATTACTGGCTCAAGTGATTTTCCTTTCTAGTAGCTGGGACTACAGTTGTGCACTACCATACTTGACTATCATTCATTATCTTCCAGTAGAAATTTGAAACTAGAGAATTTTTACTAGTTTTTAACTTAGTTTTAAAACTCTAAGTCTTCAATTACTTAGGCCAGTGACTTACCTTTCTGTTGTATATGTCAATAAAAATGATTCTGAAAAAATATTGAGTTTGACTATAGGGCCTAGAGGGTAAAACAAAGAAAATTTAGTTCTTATCTATACTCACTTACTTGATCTGATGGTGAAGATACAAAGTAATCAGGAAACTTTATTAAAAAACAGAGTGCTGGGCTGGGAATGTGGCTTAGTGACAGTGCTTGCCTAGCAGGCATGAAGCCCTGGGTTCAATTCCTTAGTACCATATACACAGAAAAAGCTGGAAGTGGTGCTGTGGCTCAAGTGCCAGCCTTGAGCCAGAGAAGCTCAGGGACAATGTTCTACCCTGAGTCCAAGCCCCCAGAACTGGCAAAAAAAAAAAAAAAAAGTACTTAGAAAGAGGAAGGCCTCCTATGGCACAGGATACCCTTCATAACTTGATCCCAGTTTAATGAGACGATGTCAAATATAAACAAAAAAGTAGAGAATATTACAGATGTTCAACAATTATGTCTCTACTGTCTAGACTTAATAATGTTAACAGTCTGATATTTTTAACTTCAGACATTTTATTTAAGAGAGAAATAAGGAGCTCTATGTTGATCTTATACATTTCTGTCTCAGAGGCAAGTTTCTTGAAGATGATGAATGTTCTGAGTAGTCATTTTTATTTTTACCCCATAAGTATCCATGAGCAATATATACTATTGTACTTAGGCTGGACATGGTGGTACATGCCTATAATACTCAGGAGAGGGAGGCAAGATCATAAATTTGAGGCTAGCCTGTGCCACTTAGGGAGACCCTGTCTCAAATAAATAAATAACTGCAAAAAAACCCAACCCCACAGGTGCTTGCTTAGCATGTATGAAACCCTGAATTCAATGTCCAATAGAAAGTTGGGGGGAGGAGATTCAGGTAGTTTCAGAGTGTATACATCCTTTTGTTATTTTTTTTCATGCACTACTGTTTTCAAGACAGTTTATTTATTCTATATATACTTATTTATATATTTATATATTATATATAAATGTTATTTATTTATATATTTATTCTATATATTTATTTATTCACTTTAACTGCTATGTAGCATTTCTCCATTTCCCTAGTAAAGGATATTTAGGTTCGTTCTCAATTCTTTGCTATCATAAACAGGTTTATAATGACATCTTCAAGCACATGTGCACACAGGTCTTTATTTTCCAGTGTATTGAAATTAATAGGATTTATTAAAACACATTTACATGTAAATAGAAAATTTGTAACTTAGCTCTAGTCGTTATCAGTTTGAATCATATTTCTTTTCTCAGATAGCTTTCTTTTCCAGCTTTGTGAAGTTTGTCCCAAATTTCTTTTTCTTTTCCTTTTTTTTTGCCAATCCTGGGCATGAACTCAGGACCTGGGCACTGTCCCTGAGGTTCTTTTGCTTAAGGCTAGAACTCAACCATTTGAGCCATAGCACCACTTCTGGCTTTTTCTGTTGATGTGGCATTGGGGAACTGAATCCAAGACTTAATACACGCTAGGCAAGCACTCTACCACTCAGCCACATTCCCAGCCCTGTCCTCAGTTTTTAGCTCTGAAATGGTGGCTCCATTAAATTTACACTGTAATTAAGAATATCACAACAGCTGAGCCTCCGTTCTAAAGTTTCTGAGGTGAAATCATCATCTGTATTTCTAGGTCGGTAAATCCAAAAACATAATCTTGTGTTTTCCCCTCTTTTACCAGTGCTAATGTGAGAATGAGTTTAGTATGTAGTCTCTCACAAAGAAAAGGTGCTTTTTCGACATTCAGCTTCAAAACTTTGGTCTCAAGATGTTTCTTAGTATCACCAAATGTCTGTCTAGGATTTTGTACCTGAATGTAGGGTACTATACTTTATAGAAATGGCAAACTACTTTTTACTCTCTTTGACTTATTGGACAAAAGTCTTTCTCACTAGGTATTTCTCTGCATTCACCATGTCCTTTAGAAAGCCATTCCTGTTTCTGCTGCTGAACTTTCCTTAGTGCCTCAAGTCTCTTTTCTTTGTTGTGCTCCAATTCATCTTCATCCACCAGGTGCAGTTTCTTAATTTCAGAACCCAAATGATCTTCTACCAGCTTGGTCGTCTGAAGCAACTGGTTTTTCAGGGCTTTTGAAAACATGTGGACAGATGCAGCACTCTCCATTCTTCTAAATGGTACCGTTCAGCCTTCATGTTGAACCCTCGATGGTGTCCAGGGAGTAAGACAAACAGGTCTTTATAATAAAAGAATCTCAGACTGGAAGTGTGTGGTTCAAGTACTAGAGCTAATGAACTGAGTCAATTGCCAGTACCACCAAAAAGAAAAAAGTATCTTTGCATATTAGAAGCAAAACTGCAGAAAGTTGGACTATATACCTTTGTCATTAATTAATATGGTCTCTAAATAATAACAAATTAATTACTAGCCACAATGTATGAGACTTTCTGCTTCCTCATATCTTCACTAATTTGGTATGAATGAGTAGCAGCTAGTAAAGAGCAATGAGGAACTGCAAAGGGAACTTAAAATGAGGATAAGATCACAAGGTATCAGAAAAAAATATTGTAATTAAATTTCCTGTTTCACACGTAACCTCAGCCCTGTAAACTGGACCTAAGAACTTTCTCACAGGCAATCTCAAGTAGCCCTCAAACTCCAAAGGCTAATGTTATTTTCACCCTAGAGACGACCCATTCTCAACCTGTTGAAAGTGTATTTGTAACAGGTTTTTGGTTTTTTGGGTTTTTTGTCAGTCATGGGGCTTGAACTCTGGGCCTGGGCACTGACCCTGAGTTCTTCAGCTCAAGACTAGTGCTCTACCACTTGAGCCACAACACCACTTCTGATTTTGTGGTGGTTTATTGGAGATAAGGGTTTCACAGCCTTTCTGCCCAGGCTGGCTTTGAACTACGAACGTCAGATCTCAACCTCCTGAGTAGGTAGGATTACAAGCATGAGCCACCAGCACCCGCTATAACAGGTTCTTAAACTGGTTTTGCTGTTATCAAGTAACCAAAAGCAGGAGAAAAGCCTAACATCTCTGCTTTTATTTTATGTTTGTCATTGTCCTAAGCCATTCCCTCCATAGTCATTTTATAAATCACTCTGGGTTCCAGGAAAGACAGAACTGACCCATAATATCTTTATGACTAAGACTAAAACTACAGCATAGTCTTGCAGGATAAGTCACTCCCAAATGAAACAATTACCTATAATAATCAGGCTGCACCCTAGAATGGGAGAAATCATCTCATAGTAACCAGATTCTGCCCTTAAGTGATGACAATGATAACATTTCTCCAGAACCTGGGAGAACTAGAACCAGGTACACCTGTATCCCAGACTCTTAAACTATGCATACCTGTGCCTTGCCTCTAATTATTCATCTAATGTATATACCCTGAAAATAGCCAAAGATTAACTAAAGTGCCATCTTCCCATGGCATGTCTATGCTGTTTGATATCCTTTTTTCACCTTACTTCTTTACTAGTAAATTTTCCTGTCACTTTCAATCCTTTTGTATCTTACTTGACTTCTTCATGCCAGCCACAAGGATTAAGGTTAAATGAGCTGACTTTCTGGTAACTATCTTGTTGATGTGAAGCTGAATTACCATTTTATGTTTACAGACCATTTGGGCTTCTATTGTTTCTTTTTCCTTTTTCTCTTTCCTTTCCTTCTTTCTCCTATTGTTATTTTTCCTCTCTCCCTCTGTCTCTCCCTTCCTTCCTTTGGCTTGAACTGAGAGCCTGAGTTTTTTTGTTCAAGGCTATCACTCTACCACTTGAGCAACAGCTCGACTTCCAGTTTTTTGGTGGTTAACTGAAGAGTCTCACAGATTTTCTTGCCCAGGGTGATGTTGAACTGAAATCATCAGATCTCAGATTCCTGAGTAACTAGGGGTGAACCACTGGCACTCTGCTATTTGCTTTTTCTTACCCTTTGTGTATTCTTTTTTTTTTTTAAATTGAATTGCCTTTTTATTATTACTTTTGGGCTTGTTATTGTTCTGCCAGTACTACTGAGGCTTAAACTCAGTGTCTCTTGCTTTCAATGAGCTTTTTATGCTCATGGATGGTGCTTTATCACTTCAGCCATACCCCTACTTCAGGCTTTTTGCTGGTTATTTGGACATAGGAGTCTCACAGATTTGTCTGCCTGGTCTGGCTTTGAACCACAGTTCTTAGACCTCAACCTCCTGAGGAGCTAGGGTTATAGGCAAACGACCTGCATCTGATTCCTTTCCTTTTTGATTTGTAGGAACTTTAGAAACAAAATATTCTAAACACAAATCATTTGCTATTTGTATTGAAACTATTTATCCCAGTTTGTGGCTTTTTTAACTTTATGGGTTATAAACAGAGTTGCCTCAAACTTGTAATTCTCCTAGCTCAGCCTTCTAATTCTGGCATTATAGATGAGTACAATCATGCTAGGTTTATGGGTTGGTTTTTGTTTTTGTGCAGGAGTTTTTCTACCTTTCTTCTGTTATTGAATTATAACATACAAACAGAAAAGGATACAAAAAAGTTCGATAAATTTTCACAAAAAAATTTTTTTCAAGTGGTAGAGCACTAGCTTCGAGCACAAAGAGACTCAGAGACAGTGCCCAGGCCCCAAGTACAAGCATAAGGACTGGCAAAAAAAAAAAAAAAAGACGTTTGTACCCAATTACATTGATAAAAGTGAACTAAGCAACTCAAGGGCAGTGATATAGGAGGGAGGAATGAGAAAGAGGGAACAGCTTACATTAAGCAAAAGGAAAGAAATGTACATTTCACCCGATTTTGGAAGAAATAGTCTTTTGTTAAAGTTTGTAGAGTTCATAAACTCTGTAGATTAAGATGATGATGATCATTGTGAAGATTAAAAGGTGTTTGTGACTTTAGCTAAGTATAACTATGCCACAGTATTATGAAACATATGTAGTCAATCTCAATAAAGAAATATTTGGGGGCAGAGGAAGAAGTACCCAACTGATGACACTTTTTAGTTATCTGAAACCAGAGAGAAACTATTTAAAACTACAACATGGCTAACATTAGCATAATTTCTAGTTAGGAACTGATTTGCCCCTCATCCTAGGCAGCAGATAAAGGATATGTTCTCCTCGGGGTAAAAATGATCTATTCTAGTTTCTTTACTTTTGCATGGATGTGTAGGTTTTTTAACTCAGGACCTCAAATTTGGTAGATAGGCACTCTACTGTTTGAGCTATATTTTCAGCTATTCTAATGCTTTTTTTTTTTTTTTTTTTTTTGGTCAGTTGTGGGGCTTGAACTCTGGGCCTGGAGACTGTCCTCAGCTCTTCAGCTCGAGGCTAGTACTCTACCACTTGAGCCACAGCACCACTTCCAGTTTTTTGGTGGTTAATTGGAGATAAAAGTCTCATGGACTTTCCTGCTCAGGCTGGCTTTGAACCGCAATTCTCAGATCTCAGCCTCTGGAGTAGCTAGAATTACAGGCCTGAGCCATGGGTGCCCAGCTCTACTGCTCCTTTAAATACAATATTCAACTAAGTCATAGAAGTAGATCTATAGATGACCCAAGTATTGGAATTATCCAGGTGCAAACCTATATTAGCAGATTTATAAAGATAACTACCATAAATCTGTTAGAGAATTTACAGAAAAGGTGGACTAAATGGGTGACCAAAAAGAACTTTTATAGTAAAGAAAGGAAAACTTGAACACAACGGAAATCCTAGAACTAAAACATATGGTACCTTACCTAAAACATGAAAAAAAATCAGTAGGTTGGCTTAACACCAGATATAACACCTACATAAGGAAGGATCAGTGAACTTAAAAAATGGGTCAAGGGCTGGGAAGTTGGCTCCTCAGCACTGCATATGCAGAAAAAGCTGGAAGTGGTGTTGTGGTTCAAGTGGTAGAGCACTAGCCTTGAGCTAAAGAGCTGAGGGACAGCGCCTAGGCCTAGAGTTCAGGCCCCACCACTGACCAAAAAAAAAAAAAACGGTCAAGGGTTAGGGCGCATTTCAGTGGTAGCGTACTTGTGTAGTGCCTGAGAGGCCCTGGCTTGGATTCTTAACACCAGAAGTAGAGGGAAAAGGGAGCAGAGCATCAGATACTGTGAAATAATATAATACTCGTCTGAGATACAAATAACTGAAGTCCCAGGAGAAAAAGATATGAGCAAGCTAAAAAGATGGGTTGCAATTAGTAAGATATAAAGATAATTAAAGTCTATACTGACTAAAAAACTATCATACTTGGATTGGCTTAGATCAGCAGTTGTCTATTGCCTGCAAGTCAAATTTAAACTGCCACCTGTTTTTGTGTGATCATGAATAAAGTTTTATTGAAACACACCATGCTCATTTGTTCATTCATTGTTTAGGGCTGTTTTGGTGCTATCCCAAACAAACAAACAAACTGCTGACTTTAATATTCATCTGAACTTAATTTGGTTACTGACAAAGTCAAAGTAGGACAACAGTGCAAATGTACCATACCAGCCCTTAAAGTTAAAGAATTTTATTTTAGATTATAGTAAGAGTTGGGCTGAGGGTATAGAGTGGTAAAGTCCATGCCTAGCAGCATACATACATACGTGTGTGCACACATGCAGTTAAGGAGCAACATTCCCTCAAATTTTTTAACACTAAGACCCTTTGAACTAAGGGTCAGGCACTATATTTGTAATTCAAAAATAATTACAACCAGTGACTGAGAATTGGTTGTCTTTAAACTGAATAAAGGATGATGAACATTCATTTAATACAACACACGGTGTGCGAATACTGTGACCCACATCCAGAATACTGTGTTCCGGTATGTTTTAAGTAGGACACTGTCAGCTTAATAGTGTTCAGGAGAGTGCAAAATTTCATGATGGGAGCTGGAGATGTAGCTCAGTGGTTGAACACCTGCTCAGTATGCCTGAGGCCTCATGTTCAATGGGGGGTGGGGAGTTCATGTGGAAAAAAACTGAGAGAAAAAGGTTTGAATCCTTTCAAGAAAAAATTTGGTAGGAGAGAGAAAAAATGACTACTAACAATATCACTTGTGCTTATACGTGGAAAAAAGATTAGAATTTTCCTTTCCATAGCTCCAAGAGAGTCAAATGGACTCGACAAATACAAATTTTAAACCATGAAAACATCAGAGAAGAGCTAGAAGCAAAGGAGAGTTTTAATCTTTTCCTCCCCTAAAAGCTCCAACATCCAACAAAGAAAGCCAAGGAAAGAATTCCTGTACTGGAGATTATTTTAGGCTGAGTCAAATTCTAAGAAAGGTAGATTAGGAACAGATAAGACACTTCAGGGTATTATAAGCCAGGTTAAAGCTAGGGGTGAGGGGAACAAATGTACCTGTTATCCTAACTACCTGGGAGGTTGAGTCAGAAGGATCCTCATAGCCTGGGCAATATAACAAGACTAGTTTTTCAGAGAGAGGAAGAGGGAGGAAGAGAGAGGGGGAGAGGAGAGAGGAGAGAAAGGGGGAGGGGAAGAAAATAAAAATAAAAACCTAATGGGTCTTACATTCAATCAGACTGGGGCTAATTTGCTCCCAAGACTACATTTGGTAATATCTGTATAGTCTTAAATGTCACAACTGGAGGAGGTGCTAGATATACCACCATACAGAGATGTATTACCCACAAAAATTCAGGTACCAATATCAAGGCTTCAACTGGGGCTTTTAGCTCTTTTCCAAAAGCTCAAGGCTATGGCTCTACCACTTGAGCCACACCATCTTTTTGCTGGTTAATTGAAGATAAAAATCTCTTGGATCTGTATGCCCAGGCTGGCTTCAAATTCTATTTTTGCTATCTGGATTATCTCAAGACAGGTAGTTATTGTAAAGTAATATTCTACTCCTCACGGGACAGAAGTGTGCAAGAATTAAATTAACACATTCTAGGGAAATGTGTGTCGAATTTATGTGTAGTATATGAGCAGCATAGTGGCACAGTGTACTCTTTAAATACATAGTTTTATTACTTTTTTTTCAAACCAGAGTTTGAACTCAAGAGTCTGGTGTTCTTGCTCAGGGCTGGCACCACCTGAATCACATGTCTAGTCTAGTATTTTGCTGGTTAATTATAGATGGAGTCTCTTGGATTTTTCTGACTCAACTGGCCTCAAACCATGATCTTTCAGGTCTCAGCCTCTTGAGTTAGCTAGGTTTACAGACATGAAAAGCCCATTTAATCTCATTTTAAAATTATCTAAGATGTCTGAGAGAAGGAAACAAGTGCTTTAATACATAACACATTTCATACCTTTTACAGCCACCAGTTTTCTTTTAAATAAGGAAGAAAAGGGCAGAGGCTGGATTGTGTCTTCAGAGTTCTTTTGTTGCCATTAATGAGAAAGAGGCAAATGAATTCTCAGGAAATCCACAGAACACCTCAGCAGACAAGTTTCCCTCCAAGGTCTAATCCCCATCTGTCCTAAGGCTCCTTGCTCTGAATATTCCCTGAGAAACTCAGTTTACCTAAAGTGATGTGCTCGGGGACGCCACCCTTCTTATGTTTTTTTTTTTTTTACCATTGCTGACTTGGACTTCGATGCTTTTTCTTAACTGGGGCCATTGGTTCTTCATCTCCAGTTTCCGTGCCTTTCTGGAAAGCTCCCTGGGTAAAGCCCTGGGTTGCCTTTCTTCTAACCCAGCTTCCCTCCCCCCTCCTCCTCCCCTCCCCCCCATCCCGCCCTTGGCTCCGGCGATCCCAACTGCAAACACCACAGCCCCGATCCTCCCTCGTCCACCGGGGACGGCGCGGTACATTAGGAAAGGCTGTCCTCGGCCTCTCCCGGCCGGGAGCTGGAGGAGGGGCAGGGTGCCAGCTCGACCCCCCTCCCCTCCACTGAGGCCCAGCTCCCACGTCCCGCGCCAGCGAGGCCTCCTCGGCCTTCTAAAGGCCCCGCTTCGACCTCCGACGCGATTTCTAACTCTGTGGGTCAGGACTACGCAGCAGACGCCCCCCGGGCGACCGTCTAGCCGGGGCGGAGGGGGGGGCCCGCAGGGAAGCACTATTTGAAGCTCAAAAAGCTGGTGGGGAGCCCCAGGGTCTGCGGAGCCGGGGAGGCCGCAGGCCCCGCCCTCTCGAGGCGGCCCGCACCCGGAGGCCCCGCGGCGAGGCCCGCTGTTCTCCCCCCCCCCCTCCCCGCCAGGACGCGCGTCACCTCTCAGTCCCTCCCCTCACTCCCCCTTCCCACCGGCAACCCTCCACCCGCCCGCGCGCGCCGGCCCACCCCGTCCACGGACCCGCTCGCCTGGGCCTCCGGGTAGCTCCGGATCCACGCCGCCCCCCAGCCGCGCGGCGACCCCGCCCCCTTGCTCAGGTCCCCGAGGAGTTCCCGGACGCGCGCACAGCGGTCTCCAGGTTCTCCAGCCACGCTCCCCCCCACCCTCGCCCCCCACCGCCCCGCCCCACCCAGCTGCGCGACCCCGCCCACGCCGTGGGGACTCACAGGGCCCAGGATCCGCCCTCGCGCGGACACGCACGCGCATTGCCTAGCCCTGCGGCCTCCCGTTCCGCTCCATCCCTCAAGTCGGTAGCCCCGCCCTCTAGCCCCGCCCTTTCCCACCCAATCCCCGCCCACATCGGCGGCCACGCCCCTTATGCTGGACCCGCGCACGCGCGACTCTCAGTCCTAGCCCTCCCTCCCCGCTCCCCCGCCCCGTCGGTCCCGCGGGTCCCACGGCGCCAGGTCGCCCCCAGCCCCTCCCTCCTGCCACCCTCTCGGTGTCCCACCCTCGCCAGCTTTGTGCCCGGGTGCCGAGCCGCTTCTCCCGTCAGCTGCGCCGCGAGAGGAAGGAGCCGCGGCCGCCGAGGTGCTGCCGCCGCTCGCTGCCCCGGGCTGGGGCACAGGTAGGTGGCGGCCGCGGGCTGGGCCGCTCGCTGAGCCCCGGGCTGCGTGTGAGGTGGGGGTGGGGCTGAGGGAGGGGCGGGTGGGTGAGGAGCAGGCCTCCGGGGATGGGGTGTGGGGGCCCAAGGGAGAGGTGAGGGGGGGAGGTGAGGACGAAGGGGTGCGGGAGACAGGTTTGAGGGTGGGTTCGGTGTGCAGGGGTAAGCTGTGTGGGCGTGTGGGAATTGGGGTTCGGGGCCAGGGGGAGCTGGGTTGGCTCGGAGGGGCTTGCTTGGGGATCGAGGGGGGTGGGCTGAAGGGTTGCTGTATTGAGGAAGTGGAGAAGGAATGGGATTGGAGGGGTGCACGGAGGAAAGGAACTAGTCCTGGAATAGGGGAAGCGGTAGGGTCGGGGGGGGGGGGCAGGGAAGAAAGAAGTTGGGGCTGTGGTTGTGAAGTTGGGGATGGCGTAGACATGAAGGGAGCGGGTTTCGAAGGTTGAGAAGGCCGGGCGAGGCGTGGGCTGGAGAGATGCGGGTCTTCGCCGGAGGGAAGCTCCCGGGGTGGGGGGAAGGCAAGAAAGGGGGGAGGGTAGAGTGGCGGGGAGGGGAGGCAGGTGGAGGCGGGTGGGGTTGGGTGTGGGGGACTGGGAGCCACGTTTCTGAGGGGTCTCGAAAGATCGGGAAGGTCCGAAGTCTGGGAGGCGGGGGGGGGGGGGGGGCGCGGAGGAGCGGGGAGGGGCGAGGCGAGGGGTGCTGGGGGTGGTTGGGAATTTGGACGTGTGGAACGACCGGATTTTTGTGCGAGAAGCTGTGGAGTTGGTGAGAGTATCAAGATATCTGTAAGAGAGCTTAGCGTGGTCTGGGGGGGGGGCTGGGAGGCTGGACTTGGGGTGAGCTTCTGGGGCTTGGGTGAGAAGGCAGGTGGGGGAGTGCGATTACAGGAAAAAGAAGTCGGGGAGAATTGAAAATTGAATGATGGCGAAGACAGAACAATGAAGGTGGATTTTAGGTAGTCGTGTTCCAGTGAGTTTCTGTTCAGGTTTTTTGTTGGAGAATTTCTAAATACTGCATTCTCAAATAAGCCAAAGGTGGTCTGCAGTCTTGGCCCGAATATCATGAGTTGACATGTTTTCCTGGTATGTGAACGTAGCTAACTTCTGCCCTAGCAGAAGGGAGCCTTCATGGTGACTCTGCCCTGGCTTTGTTCCACCAACTCTTTCCTCTGAAGCCCACTATTTTTGTTTTTGTTGTTTTTGTTTTTTAATCTCCCCTTTGTCCTCCCTCTCCTCCCAGCTTGAGCCAGTTGAGTATCAGGGATCAAACAGGTGGGGAGATTAAATTTTAACGTTTTCTTAATTCTAAAGGTTGATGTCATGTTTTTATTCTTGAGAAACAGTGGGTACAGTGGAAAGAGCGTGTGCTTTGGATTTAGGCTGTGCCATTTAACTAGCTATAGCTCTATTTTTTAAGTAAGTGACTTCATTTCTCTGAGCTTCTTCTATTAAGGAACAATACTGACCTCATAGGATTGGTGATTACATGAGGTCATTTTATATAGTACATAGCACTATGCTTGGCAGCTGGAGGTACTTAATAAGGGGTTGCCATTATACTCAGTGTCATTAACATCCTTACTATAATCTGTTGTTCTTAGGGGATTTTTAACTTACTTTACTAAAGTTAGGTGTTTTCCTCTTTTTCTTTTCAAATTAGATAGCAATAGACTCCGCTGAAAATTTTAGCATTTTTCACTGTTGCCTGCTCCTTCTGTCCCCTAATTTTTTCTTGGTAAACTGGCTTCAAGGCCTGAAGAAGTTGTGTTTAGTTATCAATTCGTTTATCTTGCCTCTTATTCAAAGAAGGCGTGGAGAACTGAATATTTAATGCACTAAGGTTACATTTCATTTATTTGAAGAAATGATATGCTTTGTGGTAACTTTAGCTACTTACAGTGGCTAAACACTAGAACATGTACTATTGTAACATATTTGTATGATGTTTGAGTTACAAAGCTGCCTCTCTGAACAGGTTGGGAAACCCACTAGAATGCCTTTCACTCTGTTAAGCTAATATATAATACAGATATATATAATATATATCTATATTCATATGTCTTATATATAATCTATATAATACAGATCAGTACTGAACATTGTTATTCTTATAAATACCTATTTCTAATTTTCCAATTTGTATAGTTTTTTTGCCATGATATAAATCAGGCTCTGTCTCTTGAAAAATAGTCATGTGTAAGTAAAGCCCAATACAGAAACTTTGTGCAGAATCCTCTTCATAGTTCTTTCCCCCTCCCCCCCCCCCCCTTGTGGGGCTTGAACTCTGGGCCTGGGCTCTGTCCCTCAGCTCTTCAGCTCAAGGCTAGCACTCTACCACTTGAGCCACAGTGCCACTTCTGGTTTTCTGGTGGTTTATTGGAGATCAGTCTCACGACTTTCCTGCCTGTGCTGGCTTTGAACTGTGATCCTCAGATCTCACTCTTCTGAGTAGCTAGGATTACAGGCATAAGTTGCCAGTGCCAGGCCTCTTTATAGTTCTTAACTTTAAAATATTCAAACATGAGCCAGGTGTCAACGGCTTATGCCTATATTACTTGAAACTCAAGAGACTGAGATCTGAGGACTAAGGTTCCAAGCCAGGAGAAGTAGCAAAGTCTGTACAATTCTTATCTCCAATTAACCAACAAAAAGCCAGGAGGGGAGCTTGGGCTCAAGCTGTAGAGCACTAATCAAGTACAAAAGCTCAGGGACAGTGCCCAGGCTCTGAGTTCAAGTCCCAGGACCAGCACAATTAAAAAAAAAAGGTTTAAACATATTTAATAATCATCTCCCAGAAGGGCCTTGCTGGCAGAATACAGGATCTACAAATTTAGTCTTATAAATCAAAGGTCACCAGAATTCCCTGAATCAAGGTCAGTTCCCATATACCATAGCTGGATAAAGAGAGGCCTTGGAGTATTGCATGGACAGATAGTTTACTCTTTGGGAATTATTGGACTTTGAATCATTTACAAAGAGAGTAGCACTTGTTGAGTAGTCTAAAGATAAAATATAGTCATAGCTATAACCCTTTTTTTTTTTTAATAAGATCCTTAGAACCTGAAGCTGCCAAGATTTGGGAGAGGGATTAGCATCCTTATTCTGGTCCTGAGTTGCCTATGCCCTCTGCTGGATGGAATCAGACTTAATTTTCTTCACAAGTGATCATCCATCTGTCTATCTCTTTTTCCATTTTACTCCAAAGTTTGTGGTAACTTAATATGGTTGAGGATTAGGAACAAAGCAGATAGGTGGACTTTGTTTTTCAGGCAATGGTATGTTGATCCATTGTTATATGCTATCTTCTATAAAATTTGCCCCTCTGATATTAAAATCCAATCATTTCTTTCGAGGGCCATACCAGATTTCTTCTTCCTTTTTTCTTTTCTCTTTGGTGGTAGTTTGGTGTAGTTTGAACTTAGTGTCTCATGGTCATCATGCAGGTGGCCCGCCACTTGAGCCATGCCCTAGTCCTTTGTGCTTTAGTTATTTTTAATAGAGTCTAGTGTTTTTGTCCAATAGAGATTCCTTACTAGTTAGCTAGGATGACAACGATGAACCACCACATTCTGCTTATTGATTGAGATGGGACTTTCACTAACTTTTGCCTGAACTGACCGCAGACCATTAACCTCCCAGTCTCCCAAATTACTGGGATTATAGACGAGTCACTGTACCCAGCAACTGATGTCTACTTTGTAATCTTCAAGTAATCTAGAGTTCTGAGTGTCCAACCACAGGGACAAAGACCTTTTTCTCAGGATTAAGGTATGTAAGGTTGGAGGAGCCAGATGCTTTCCCCTGATGGAAGAAGAACTTAGAATGAGCAATGTCTGTAACAACAGACATTGAATGCTGGCAAGAATATGGGTTGTAAGCATTGGCACTGTTACAGGATGTTTTTTGGTTTTTTTTTGGCTTCTAGTTGAGTTGTGTATTTTTCCTGGTCCTACCAATAGCAGTATCCTCCCATCATCTGCTCTGCTTCTACCACCTGCAGAAGGGTGTGGCAAGTTGGGGAGGAGCCTGCAGCTGTTGCCTAGAAGAGGAGCTGCCTCCTAGCAACCGTATCAACAGGCCCTTCAACTCAGAGTACTAGATCTTCCCCTTTCAGATCTCATGCTTCCTCTCATTTAGTTCAGCAAGTATCTGTGAGCCCTTACCTAGTACTAAGCACTGTGTTGGACCTAGGAAAGAGTGACAAATTAGATTTGTGCCTTGCCTGAGTACAGTGCAACTCTGAGTACAGTAACAAACATAATACATGGTACTAAGGGTTGTATGAAAAAACACCAGGTGTTCTGGGAAAACCAGACACGCATCTACTAGTGCAGGGGTTAGGGAATATTTCCCAGGCCAGGGAATGATGATTGAGCTGATTGTTAATGATGAGTAGAAATTAGCTAGGCCACGGAGGCAGAGAAGGACCCTCCAGCCAAAG